CTTTTGCCAACTTTATCTGGAATGCTGTTCAACAAATCATGATATGTTTCAGATGATAATTTAAAAATTTACTCGTTTTCTCTGCAAATCCTCATTTTTCCCTGAAGCATAATACTAACATACATACGTGGAGATGATTAAAAATATGACAGTGTTTGTCATTGAAGAGTCAGGGTCTCTCTGATAGTTATGGTTGCCTTGTAATGGGGCTATTTCATTGCTTAGGAGGTGCCTCAGGTTTGCCTCAAGGACTAAGGGGTCTCTTGGGAGACATAAGATTAAAGGGACAAGAAGACTGAACTATAGTAGTCACATCCCTTTAGAATAGTCATGGCAACCTTGGGAATGCCCCAGAGCTTGTAAGCAGAGAGTGTTCTTGTGTTTCTTCTTTGGAGACCACAGTCTTGAAAGCCTGTCCCACGGTGCTCAGCCAAATGAGATGTCTGAGATGACAATCCAGTAAGTAATTCACTGGAGAAAGAAGTCTCAGAAAAGCAAATCAATTTAGTGTGAGCAGTCTCTAAACTAGGAGAATGTTACAAACTTATTCCAGGATAACTTCCATTAGATTCTCTTATACGCACATGTGTACAGTTTTCTTTGTTTGTTTGTTTGTTTTGAGAGATTTTTGCTGTAGGGTGCATGTGCTCATCAGAGAAACACAGAGAGACAGAGGGACAGAAAGTGAGAAATCACACCCCAGGGGGAATGGCCATGCTGCAATTCCTTCTCCTTTTGGGATTTTAAGAATGAATGCATGTGGGCCCAGCCTGACTTTTGAGCCACTGGGTCCAGGACTTGAACCATAGTTGACTACGTGGGAGTCCAACAGTGCAACCATTAAGCCATCTTCTGGTCCTCATGTGTATAGATATTTAGTAATTAGGTCATGACTTGCTCCTCGTCATAACTAAACCTGTCTACTGCCCCTCCAGCTGTCCATAAATGATATTTCTTTCTTTTGTAATGTACTGTCAATTGTTATTTTTCTGTTCTTTTATGATGTAATATGGGGCTTAAATGGTATTTCAGTATTGTTTTAATTTGTATCTTTCACACCAATAAAGAGTTTGAATATCTGTTAATATACTGGAGAATTCTCCATCTATTTTTTTATATTATAAATAAGTTGTTTTTATTCTTTTGTTATCTATTAGTTTATGTATTTTTCTTTTTGATTTGCAAATGTTCCTGGATATTTTTACCTATATGTTGACAGTCAAAGACATTGCAAATATATTCCCCACTTGATATTACCTTTGAATATGACATACTTAATTTTACAGAAATCCACAAATTGGATTGAAAATAACAAAAATTTTGCAGTTTGTTTTATACTTGCAGAATTTTTTTGTCTGCCCCCATGCTTACATCATAGTCATTTTCTTATACTATCACTAGCTACTAAATAGTTTTCAAAAAAAAAAATCTCAATTAATATTTTATATAGTTAGGGGTTGAATTTGAGGTTTTATAGATGAGAGGTAAGTAGATAGATGGTAGATAGATAGATAGATATAGATTGATAGTAGACATAGATTGATGATAGATGATAGAGAGAGATGTAGATGGTAGATGATAGAGAGATGACAGATAGATAACAGATAATGTGTGATGTTAAATCATGTTAATAGATATATCTACCACCTCATATACTTATTTTCTTAAAATACTGCCTAAGGGCAAGTGCCTAAACTTGCAAGTGAAACAGAAAGAGAGGAAGAAAGCATACCATGATGGGATGTGGTCCCCCCACAATATCTTCTCTATTACTCCATCCTGTCAGGATGTCGGGCATATGCACACTCACAACCAGCATATATTTCAAACTTCCTAGGCTGGGATTTTAGCCATAGTCGTTAGCTTCCCACACAGGCCTTAACTGCTGCACATGACAGTGGCCCACACAGATTATTTTGTGTATAGTGAGAACATTTAAAATCTGTTCTCCTAGCAATTTAAAAATATACAATAATTTTTACAGTAGGTGATGATAGTAGATCTCCAGACCTGATCTTCCATCAAACTAAAATGTTGTACCTTTGACCAACATCTCCCCCTTCTCTATTTTCCCCAAGCTCCTGATAACCACCAATTGTCTCTGCTTCTATGAGTTTAATTAGTTTAAATTCTATGTATAGGTGAAGCTGTACAGAATTTGTCTTTCAGTGTCTGCTGTATTTCACTTACCATAATAACATCCAGGGTCATCCATATTGTCATAAATGACAGGATTTTCTCCTATTTTAAGGGTGAATAGTATCTTTTTATATGCAAAAACCATCTTGCTTTATCCATTTATCTATTTTTTTTTTTTTTGGAAAGATTTTCACTGTAGGGCGCATGCACTCGCCAGACAGACAGATACATAGAGACAGAAAGCGAGAAATCACCCCCCAGGGGGGATGGTCACGCCGCAATCCCTTCTCCTCCATTCTCCTCTCGGGATCTTGGGCACGCACGCACACGCGCCCGGCGTGAGTTTTTTAAGCCACCGGGTCCGGGACACGAACCGCGGTCGACTACGTGGGAGTCCAGCGACATAGCCATTACGCTAACTGCTGGTTCCCCCATTTATCTATTGATGGACACTTAGATTGATTCAATATCTTGGCTATTGTGAATAGTGCCATAATAAACACAGGAAGGTCAATGTCTCTTTGATACACAGATTTAATTTCCTTTGGATGCATCACTATATCCTGAAGTAAAAACTGCAAGATCACATCATAGTTCCAATTTTAAGGTTTTAAAGAATTCTCCCAAATGACTACACTAATATAAGTTCCAGCCTACACTGTACAAGAGATCCATTTCTTCCAAATCCTTCTCAACGTTCGTTATTATTTATTTACTTATTTTAGAAGGAAACCATTCTAATAGATATGAAGTGAAAGCTATGTCACTGTGGTTTTAATAGTTTGCATCTGTCTGATGGTTAGTGATGTTGAACATGTGTTTATATACCCATTGGGCATGTATAGGTCTTTTCCAAGAAATTTCTTTTCCGGTCATTTGCTTATTACTAAACTGGGCTCATAGCTTTAATTTAATCTTTTTTTTTTTTTTTTTTTGCTATAGGGCACATGCGCTTAACAGAAACATAGAGAGAGACAAAGAGACAGAAAGCAAGAAATCACTCCCCAGGAGTATTTCCCTTGCCTTATCCACAGTTTTCTGGATCTAAGAGACTTATCTATACTTTACTTAAAGTGTTTTACTCCCTCTTCAAGGAGAGCCATCTCTGTATCCTGCCTCAGAGCTGTTGGGCTTCTTACTGTAGATGTGTGGCATTCACCAGAGGTGAGAAAATAATGTGGATGGTGCCCACGAGGACACGGATCACAGGAGACAGATACTTCCCAAAGCAGCATGGACAGACTGATGACTGGGATGTAGAAAGGAGTACTGCACAGACGGGGGAGCCACAGACCTGCAAGGACTTGAGCCTCTCCTCTCAGGATGCAGTAGCATGGATGAAATACAGAATGAGAATGTAGAACTAAAAAGAAACATGGAATTAAAAAAAAAAAAGGTATAAATCACCAGAGCCAAAGCATAGACGCTGCTGAAGAAGATGTCAGAAAAGGCTACCCTCATCAGATCTGAAAGGTAGCAAGATTAAAGAGTAGAACATGTGGATATTTGTAATGCTGATTCTTATCAGCACAAAGTGCATATTATTATTATAAAAATAGGGAATCTGATTTCAAGCCGTTCACAAAGATTATAAATCTTACACAAACATATTTCTTTTTTTTTTGGGGGGGGGGAGGGGGTTTTTGACTATAGGGTATGTGCGCTCGCCAGAAAGACAGAGAGAGACAGAGAGAGACAGAGAGACAGAAAGTGAGATATCAGCCCCCCGGGGGGATGACCACACCACAATCCCTTCTCCATTCTCGTTTCGGGATCTTGGGCATGCATGCACATGCGCCCGGCGTGAGTTTTAGCCACTGGGTCCAGCACTCAAACCACGGTTGACTATATGGGAGTCCAGTGACATAGCCATTATGCTAACTGCTGGTCCCCATCAAAAACTTATTTCTGATAAGCATTTTTTTTTAATTTGTCAGCATGTGAATTCTAATTGTTTAACCGTGAGTTCAAAAAACAAAGGCACATCTTATGGTTGAAGAGGAATAATATGAAGCTTCATGTTAACAACAAATAATAACTGTCTTATGTAAGATACATCTATTGCTCTTCAAAAAAATGGAAAGATCAGACTCTTTGCCTAATGCACAGTCTTCCTGGATAAAGGAATTATTTCTATAAATGTGCACTTACAAGAATATCCAAAACCTGGTGAAAAATATGCAGTGCAGACACTGCCCATGGGCTTTCCTTCATTCTCTCTAAGGATGATGGCCCTAGAGGTTGCAGCACTCACTCTCAGCATCTCCCAGGACCCAGGATTTGCTCCAGTGACTCCTATCCTTCTTGCAGCTATATAAATCTCTTTTCTCCTAGAACATCAGTGCTACTGTCACACAAGAAAGTAGGATCTATTTTCAAGGTTAGCAAAAACAACTGTGCTGTGACTGACACTCCGTCATTAAGTCTCTGCAACATGGATGTCAAAGTGAATAAGAAATGAGCCTGAAGGTCAAAGTGAGCCAGCATATTTTGTTCTCCACCTGTCAAACTCCAGCTTCCTTATTCCACTTCCACAAGTCCAACATGTTTTCTCTCATATCTGTACTATAAGTATTGAAGTACAAAGTGATGATGCTGTTATGGACAAGAATACTGCTACCTCTGATAAGGACAAAGATCTGAGAACGAGCAAATGACCTTTGTAAGCATTAAGTGATTTAGTCTCTGTTTCACAGCAAATTCAGTTTCAGAAAACATAGCAACACCAGTCTCCTGTGTGATGAACTTAATGCTAATGTAATCATTCCCAGTATAAACTGTCACTTCAGACATTTCATATATAAATCTTACTTGACTGTTCTACAAGTTTCTTCCTTTGAGGTTTCTATCTTTATAGATCGATGTCTATTCGAATTGATTCTAAACTCACTAACTCCACTTTTCTCCTTACCGGTTTCCCTGGCCTTGAAGAGGAATACCCCTGGCTCTCAATCCCTTTCTCCTGCATCTATGTGACCATCCTTTCAGGGAACTGTCTGGTATTGCATGTGATCCGCACAGAGCCAAGCCTGCACGAGCCCATGTTCTACTTGCTGGCCATGCTGGCACTCACGGACCTGTGCATGGGGCTGTCCACAGTGCACACTGTGTTAGGGATACTATGGGGGCTCAGCCAGGAAATTAGTCTGGATGCTTGCATTGCCCAAACATTTTTTGTTCATGGTCTATCAGGCATGGAGTCTGGAGTCCTTCTTGCCATGGCTTTTGATCGTTTTACTGCAATCTGTAATCCTCTGAGATATGCATCCATCCTCACCAATACCAGAATCATCAACTTGGGTGTGGCCATCTTAGGAAGGAGTTTCCTTCTCATTATTGCTCCCATTGTCCGCCTTAAATTCTTCATTTACTGCCGTCCCCACATCCTCTCACATTCTTTTTGCCTGCACCAGGACCTGCTCCGGCTGGCCTGCTCTGACATTCGATTCAACAGTTTCTACACCTTAGCCTTAGTGATGTGCATACTATTTTTGGATTCTGTGTTTATTCTTATCTCCTACATCTTAATCCTGTATTCAGTCTTGACTATTGCATCCCGGGATGAACGGTTCAAGTCCTTGCAGACCTGTGTCTCTCACATCTGTGCAGTCCTGGTTTTCTACATCCCAATCATCGGTCTGACCTTGGTACATCGCTTTGGGAAGCACCTGTCTCCTGTGGTTCATGTCCTCATGGGCAACATCTATATCCTTTTTCCACCTTTAATGAACCCCATCATCTACAGCGTCAAGACACAACAAATTCGTAGCAGGATCCGAAGATGGCTCACTAAAAAACCCTAACTTTCAGATGTTAATGTGTTTTAGGGAAGGTAAAACAGTAGTTGCAAAAGGAATGCCTAATACACATGTTATTTGTAACAGTAATCATTTTTATGTAATATTTTACAGTTTGAAAGCATATTTACAGTGACTTCCTAATTTAGTTCTCCAAAGCCAGACAAGTAGTTTGTGAAAATGTCACTGACCTTATTTCTTATTTTTTTTTTGATTTTCTAGAAAGTGTAATGTAAACTTTAGTAAATTATGTTCAACAATGTACCAATTAACACTTGTCTAAGGAATGCATAAATTGTTTATTTAAAGTATGATTTTACTTTTCATGTAGCCATTTATTTTTTGGAGAGGTTTTTGCTATAGGACGTGTGTGCTCACCAGAAAGACAGAGACAGAGACAGTGAGAAATCACCCTCGGGGGGAAGGCCACACCACCATCCCTTCTCCTTCATTCTCCTCACAAGATCCTGGGCATGCACATACACACACTGAGTGTAAGTTTAAGCCCTCAGATCCAGGACTTGAAACGTGATCGACTGCATGGGAGTCCAATGACATAGCCATTACACCAATTGCTGATCCCTCATGTAGCCATTTGTATGTGTGCATTTATTATGCATGAGAGAAGTAGTTTGTCCATATTATCATCTTGTTTCACAAATTGACTGTATTGTGGCCATTAACATCTTTTCTACCTCTAATCGAGTAAAACTGACCCTAAAACCCATTCTGTCTCATCTAATAGAATACAATAATTACATTGATATATTGAAGTAAATGTCTAATGCAAAAAATTTGATCAATAACAGCCATCCCTTCTCTTTCATTCTCCTCACACAAGATCCTGGGCATGCACATACACACGCTGAGCGTAAGTTTAAGCCCTCAGATCCAGGACTCGAAATGTGATCGACTACATGGGAGTCCTGGGCATGCACATACACACACTGAGTGTAAGTTTAAGCCCTCAGATCCAGGACTTGAAACGTGATCGACTGCATGGGAGTCCAATGACATAGCCATTACACCAATTGCTGATCCCTCATGTAGCCATTTGTATGTGTGCATTTATTATGCATGAGAGAAGTAGTTTGTCCATATTATCATCTTGTTTCACAAATTGACTGTATTGTGGCCATTAACATCTTTTCTACCTCTAATCGAGTAAAACTGACCCTAAAACCCATTCTGTCTCATCTAATAGAATACAATAATTACATTGATATATTGAAGTAAATGTCTAATGCAAAAAATTTGATCAATAACACTGAATCACTGAGTTAGCCTTTATACCTCCACATATCATACTTTTTACTCCTAAGTGTATACACTTGTAGATTGTAGTCAGTTCGGAAAAGATAAAAATTCTCACTAGGCTTATTGATTTTTTTTTTTTTTTTTTTTTTTTTTTTTTTTTTTTTTTTTTTTTTTTTTAGGAGAGAGAAAGTAAAAGGGAGAGTCGGGGAAAGTGAGAGAGATCCCTCAGAGGGGATGGCCACACTGCAATAGATTCTCCTCCACTCTCCTCTTGGGATTTTGGACAGACATGCACAGGCAACTGACATGTTTTTCAACCATAGGTCCAGGATTTCTGATTCAGCTGGTCAGGTGGGATCCAGCTTCCTGAACAACCACACCATGGAGTGATTGAGTCCCCAACTGTTTTATAATCTTAATGTCAGCAGATATGAAATTTTAAAGACAGCTTAATCAATGACTTTATTCTACAGGAGAGGATGCTGAGGCACAGAGATATTAAGTAAGACATTATCGAAAATATTTTTGTACCTCTCCATATTCTTGCTTAAACTTTTTTTTGGGTCTTCATAGGAAGCATTATTATTTAAGGAAGTAATGCTGATCAGATACCCTCTTTCTCTGTTCTAACTGGGTGATTATTTAAAAAAAATTAACATGGAATGAGCTATGGTGGACATTTTAGAAACCTATGAATCATATTTTGTATAATTACTATATTTGCAAGATTAGATTTTCTTGGAATCATACTACTTTTATTTTGGTATACTGAGAGAGAGAGAGAAATGGAAGTGAAAAATCACCCTTCTCCAGGTGGAATGCCACACTGCAATCCCTTCTCCTCGACTTTCCTCTTGGGATTTTGGGGACCAACATACAGTGCTCATCACAGCTCTCAAACTGTCAGTCCAGGACTGAAATAGCACAGTCAACCATGAGAATCCAGGTTCTTAAGTGCCACATCACATGCTGGCCCTTCATTCACTTTCAAATTTTGAAACAATGCATAGGGTCCTAAAGTTAAAGGACTTTTGCATACAGGATAAACATTTCTTAGAAGACGTTTAATATAGAATCTGGAGGGAATAAAAGCAGACTTTGGTTCTACTATCTAATGGAAAATGTGATGAATTTGTTATTCTTTCTAATACTATGAAAACTAATCAACAGTGGGTCTGGCAAGTGGCATGATAGCTGGGACATTGTATTCTCACATTGCCGACCATGGTTTAAGTCCTAAACCTGGTGGCTTGCTTTCTCACATTCTCTCTGTCTCTTTCTCTTTCTATATATTTTTCCATCGCGGTCTGGTCAAATTAAAGATGATAATAAGAATTATAAATAAGGGGCCGGCAAGTGGCATGGTGGTGAAGGGCGCTGGACTCCCACATGGCCGACCACGGTTCAAGTCTCGGACCTGGTGGCTTGCTTTCTCACTTCCTCTCTCTCTCTCTGTGTCTCTCTGATCAAACTGGAAAGTAATAATGATAATAATAAAAAATAAAGTTAAATAAAATAATTTTAAAAAAAGAATTATAAATAAAACTGAGTAAATAATTCTTTAAAAAAAAAAACTAATCCACAGAAGTCCAAGATTGTGGCCTGTATATATAAAGCAAGTGAATTTGTCATGAAGGATTTGTTTGTTTCACTGTTCTAGACCCTAAGCATAGCAGTGGAGGCTGGATAGATTGAAGGATGGGTTTACGTAGAATAATTCCCTGGTAATAGTTTGCCGGTTATAAAGTTCTCTCACATGTTACCTCTGGGAGCACCATCCAGCTACACTCTTCAAATGGCAGGCGTTTGTGGAAGGCAAGCAGAAAGGAAAGGTGCAGTTTCTATTTTAAACAAAGAAAGAAGACTCTGAAATAATTATCCAAAAATTAATAGGTAGATGATGATGACAGCCTGAACTTAGATCTTTATTCCAAATCAGTGCTTTCCTCTGTGACATTTCTGAGTACCTTTGAATTGAGTGAAGGATGGTGGCATTTGACGGTATAGGGGATCATGAAGGAAAAGGGAGAACAGGGTATTTTTAAGAGAAGTTTGACAGAGACAATTTCACTTAAAAAGCCTAAGATAATTTTAAGTGATACTTTAATAATTCTGTGAAGTTAGCTATAAACATTACAAAAGTTAAAGACATATCTTAGGGAGTACCAATTCATATTGATCATTCTTATGCAAATGTCTTTCAGAAAAACAGCTTAGTTTGTCCTCAGAATTATTATCTGAGGATAATAAGAATTATTATCTATTATCAAATATGTTCTTTGTAACATCAAAATATTCTACAATCAATGTCAAAAGCAATGAAATACTTGTTCTTTGTAACATCAAAATATTCTACAATCTTTCAATAATTAAACAAGTGAAGTACTATAATAAAAGCAGTCAGAAAATAAGGACAGGAATAAGCTCAGCTATGATTACATATAAAATGATATAACAGAATAACATAAAAAAATTGCTTGAAATAAACTCAAATCTATTCAGCAAAAAAGTCAATAATTTATTTTTGTAGAAAAACAAAATCAAATATGAACTAAAAATAAATAATTCAAAGTAAAAACTTGTGATTTTAAATAATGAAACTATTGATTTATAATTTTTAATTTATTATGACTTTGATAATATACCATGGGCAACAGGTATTTAAGTGCTATTTACAGAAGTTTGAGCTAGCAATATTGTCATATAAATTACAACATTGATCAAAAATGAACAGGACAACCTTTTATACTGTAACTCAATTTCTATTAATATATGAAGAAAAAAGTTTGCATAGTTATGACTAGATATTGGGTGGTTGGAAAAGTCACGACTTATTTTTCTATGCAAAATATACATCATGACATTTCAAATGACCCAATACATACGTAAACACATGTGTGTGAACATATATATGTATATATGTGTGAATATTTATTGAATTATTTCCATGTTTGGAAAGATGTTTAGAGAAAAATGAATTGAATTATGGTATTTCTATAACATGTGATATCGTAGGAATTTTAGAAGTGAATGAGATCCAAATGTATTTAGGAAAATGTCTCCATTATATGAGTAACTGAAAGCTGCTGCAGAACAATGTGTATGAGTTAATCTCCATTTATTTTAAATAAATTCATTCATTTAGGTGTATAAGATATTTGAATTCTATGCCCTCTAATGATCTCTAACAAGAGAGAAAAAAAGGGAGGTCAGAAAAAGAAATATCTTACACTGTTTCATTATATACAATAAAAGCTTTCTTTCGATTTGCATACACATATTCATTTATTTATATATTTATATATTTATTTTTAAGAGAGAGTTTCGCTATAGGGCACATGCTCTTGCCAGAGAGACAGAGAGACAAAGAGACAGAAAGCAAGAAATTACCCCCCCCCAGTGGAAATGGTCACACAGCAATCCCTTCTCCTCCATTCTCCTCCTGGGATCTTGGGCACGCACGCATACTCACCTGACATGAGTTTTAAGCCACCAGGTTCAGGATTCAAACTGCAGTCGACTGTGTGGAAGTTCAGCAATGTAACCATTACACCAACTGCTGGTGTCCATGAATTATTTAAAAGAAATTCTGTGGATTATTAATTGGATGTGACATAATTTTAACATTTTAGTTAATTATTTTACATTTTGTTTTTGAGGTTTTGCATTCACCAAGGAGAGAGAGAGAGAGACAGACAGACAGACAGACAGACAGACGGGCACAGTGAAAGGGAAAGTGAGAAATCACACCTCAAGGGGGATGGCTATGCTGCAATCTCTTCTCCATTCTCCTCCTGTAGTCTTGAGCATGCATGCACACGCATCCAGCATGATTTTCAACCCACCAGATCCAAGACTAAAACTGCGATAAGCCGCGTGGGAGTCCAGCAATGAAACCGCTACACCATCTGTTGGACTCAAGTTAATTTTTAATATACATAGCTGTCACAAAAAAACTTTATATAAAGGTCCTATAAGCATTGTTTCAATTGGTTAAGTATTTTTAAGCATTCTAATCACAACTGATGGACTAAATGTGGAAAAAACTGGGTCCAGCTCATGGAGTGGTGGTTATGGAAGTTGTATCCAAAAGACTAAGCATGTAGTTTAAGTATGAAATCTAGCAGCCTGAGAAAGACACTGGGCATGTGCATGTGTAAGCTCAAAATCCCAAAAGAAGGGAGAAAAGGAGGAGAAGAGACTATGCAATGACCATGACCCATGCGGGAATGGGTGCCTTCTTAGTTTTTCTCTCTATAACTCTCTTTCTCTCTTTACAGCAAGCAGAAAAACCATCTGGCAGTTTTTTAAATGATAGAAATGTTTTGTGGTCCAAACTAAAATTGAGTCAAGACTGGTAGATTGGAGAAACCAGGTAAAGCTTCACCCAAGAATAAGTGTATGTGTATATATATATAAACACTTAAAAAAAAGAAATGCATGAAATAAATTTCAGATAAGATAATTTTAGAAGGTCAAAAATGCTAACATTATCTGCATTTATCTTTTTTCTCCATTTAAAATATGTTCATTTTTTTAAGTTGACAAATGAAAATTCTGTTTATTTATAGTGTGCAACATGATTTTTTAAATATATATAAATTGTGAAGTGACTAAATGAAACTGATTAATAAATATTTATATTATCTTTTATTTGTGATGAGAACACTTAAAATCTACTCTCTAATGAGTTCATATCCAAAATATATAAGAAATCAAAACAACTCAATAGCAAAAAAATTAAAATAACAATAAAATAAAAAATGAACAAAAGACTTCAGTAGACATTCTCCAAATAGTCATAAAAATGGTTGGCAGATATATGATAATATGTTCAACATCAGTACTCATCAGAAAAATGTAAATCAAAAACATAATGAGATGCTGCTTTATTTGAGTTAGAATGGCTATTATCAAAAAGACAGAAGATAAAAAATATTGGTGAGGAAGTGGAAAAGAGGGAACGCTTGTACACAGTTGTGGGAATGTAAACTAGTATAGCCATATGAAAAACAGTGTAGAAATTTCTTTAAAAATTAAAATCACTACTCTATGATCCAGCAGTCTCACTACTGGGCATATATCTTCAAAACAAAGTCCTACATCAAAGATACATCTGGAATCCCACACTTACTGCAGCAATGTTAGTCGCTGGATTCCCACACTTGCTGCATCAATATTAACAGTAGCAAAGCTGTGGAATCAACTAAATGCCAGAAAGATGAAGGGATGTAGAAAACGTGGTCTATATACAATGGAATACTACAGTCAGATAAAAAATCTGACTTCCTGAAACCTCACTTAGAGTCATTTGCCGTCTCTGGAGATACAGGAAGAGGCCGGTTTTCTGTCAGGAAATTACAAAAAGGGACCAGCAGTTAGCGTAATGGCTATGTTGCTGGACTCCCATGTAGTCGATTGTGGTTCAAGTCCTAAACCCAGTGGCTTAAGCTCAAGCTAGACGCGGGTGCGTGCATGACTGTGATGTGGCCATCCACCCTGGGGGGTGATTTCTTGCTTTCTGTCTCTCTCTCTTTCTGGTGTGTGCACATGCCTTATAGCAAAAAAAAAAAAAAAAAAAAAAAAAGGTTGGCAATGATGAAAGGTTGGCAATGTAAAGGTCTCATTCTAGGTGAGAAGGAGGAGGAGCAGAGACCTAAGACTGTCAATGTACTGATTTTGACACAAAGCCCTTGCTAACTTCTATAACTAAGGGAATGGGAAGCCAAAAAAATAAGCAGAAAACATGATAAAAAGAAAGAGGGAATTCAGGATAGTATTTCTCCCTAGGCATACAAAGATCCAGGAAGCAGTAGACATGTGAACACATTATCTTGCAGCTGAGTTTCAGGTTCAAGACTTCTACTCTCCAGTAAAGTTGTAGAGTAAGTTTCAATCCAGTAAGATTCTTTATTAGATTAAGTCATATGGAGTATATCATAGGATGAGAGGTAAAATACCACTGGAGAAAAATACAATTTTATTGGACCTTCTCAATGTTTTTAAACATGCTTGTCAACAAAACAAATTATTAGACATGGTGAGAGACAGAGCATTAATTAATAAATAAGAGGAAAATTAAACAATTCGTAAAAACTGACCCTTAGCTTATGAATTTATAATAATTAATAGTTAAATATTTTCAAATAATGGTGTTTAATATTTTAAGGAAATAGAGGCACACATTAACAAAAACAAAATAGAAGTGAAAAAGTGGGGGATGGGGGACTATATATATATATATATATACAGATACTTATGTTAGTAGCATATAAAAATAAAATATTAGGCATTACTAGAAAAAAAGAGGAACATTCCACAATGAGAAAATTAAATCATTCAACCAAAAATTTACATTAACTTCAAGTTTTTGTTTGTTTGTTTGTTTTTTTGGAGAGGTTTTTGCCATAGGGCACGTGCACTCCCCAGAAAGACAGAGAGAGACAGAAAGAGAGAAATGCCCCCTCAGGGGGAATGGCCAAGCCACAATCCCTTCTCCTCCATTCTCCTCTCGTGATCTTGGGCGTGCACTCCTCTCGGGATCTTGGGCACGCACACACACATGCCTGGCGTGATTTTAAGCCACTGGGTCCAGGACTTGAACTGTAGACGATTACATGGGAGTCCAGCAACATAGCCATTACGCTAACTACTGGTCCCCATTAACTTCAAATCTTTAAGCACCCTACAACGTGGATATTTATAGTCCACTCACTGCTTAAAAATACATAAATCAAAAAATAGCAGAATTAAAAGGAGAAATCAGGTAATCCACATTAATAGTGGCAGAGTTAAACACACTTCTATTAACAACTGATAAAATGAGGAGACACATGTTAAGGTTATAAATGATAACGTTTCATAAAATTAACAAGGTTCACTGTACAGATGCAAAAAAGAGATATAGAAAGATACACATGTAAATATCCTTGTGCTCAACAGTTGTAGACTTTGTGTTCCTTTTTACTGATATTGGATTTTACAAAAAATGATGATAAACTGAGTCATGGAAAACTTACATTTCTACTTTGTTAATGCATTTCTGGTTGATATTAATGAACACCATGAAAGGTAGTGGCACACTATTTTTATTCAAGATAAACTGACATGATTAGCATGTTCATGATGAAATCAGCAAGGTGTTAATAAGGATGATCATGACAACAATAATCATCAAGTCCTTACCAGTTATGCTGTAACCACCACCAGCTCTACTCCTCAATGGAAAATGTGTTATGCTTCCATGTGTTAGATGAGGCAGCTCAATTTGTGAACATAAATTATTTTCCAATGCATATAGTCAAGAAGTGGAAACAAAGTTTTGAATTACACTCTATTTGATTCCCAATTCCATGCAAATAATAAACTTCCACAATGATTTTTTCTTGCCAAATTTGAAATTGGTTTTTAGTGAAATATTCTCAGTGTTTGACTAGTTGCCCTCAGTTATAATGAGCTTACAAAATAAAGTATCTCTATGAAATGTTATCCTTAGTATGCAAATACAATAAAATCAATGCAGAGTAAAGCTACTACTACATTTCTCATTGCTCATAAAAAGCACCAAATATCTGAGCTTTACTCAAATCACTCCTCATACAAATGAAGAAAGAATGTGGACACTATCATAAACAATAACATTAACAAAAAACAAACACAATATTGCATGCCCTACTTTTATATTTCTTGGAGCAAACATATTTTATGTACCATGAAAGTTGTCAATTTGAATGTAACATGAATAATATAATAAGATAGGCTGCAATAAGAAAATAATTATAATTTTCAGAGTTCAGATTGTATTTAGTACAAAGAAGGATGTACATAATTATGGGGTAAATCTTGATGGCACGAAGTAAACACTAAATACTTTTTTACAGTAGTTGAAAAAGATTTTAGTGAGACTTGCATATCACATAGTAGGAAGATCTTGATGATCAAGGTAACAAGGAATCAGTGTAGGTACTGTGCTCCACTGTGATTTGCAGAATGATTTATTTTTATTTTTATTTTTTTGAGAGAAACTTTTGCTGTAGGATGTGTGAGCTAGCCAGAAAGAGAGAGAGAGACAGAAAGCAAGAATCACCCCTGAGAAGGGATGTCCACATCACAAACACTTTTCCTCCATTCTCTCGAGATCTTGGGCATGCATGCACAATTGCCTGGCTTGAGTTTTAAGCAGCCTTGGTCCAGTATTCAGACCATGGTAGACTATTTGGAAGTCCAATGACATAATCATTATACCACCTGATGGTCTCTGCAGGACAATTTCTAGGAGTATCTATTCCATAAAGCACTGGGCACATAGGAAGTGAATTGTCGTGTGTTATGACTCTTTCTATATCCAAGCGTTTCGTCTTTTAGCACCTTATCAGCATCTTTATTTCTTTCACATTCTTCTGTCTTTTGACGTAAGGTCAATAACCTCTGAATTTGTTTAATATAATAATTTTTATGTTCATTAATGTATTAATTAGTGATTTTTTATCCCCCAAGCCACAGAGTGAATTTCCAGAGTATCCAGGTCTGATAAATGAACGATTATATCTATAGGAAGAACTATTTCAGTCAAATGTCAAGTCTGGTCTTTGGAACAGAACATTTTTACTACCTTTTCTCGAATGTGTTTGGTCTTTACCCCGTAGATGAAGGGATTGAGGAATGGTGGTACCAATAGGTAAAGACTAGACAAGGTGATATGTATATATGATGGGATATAAGATCCAGATCTGTGAGTAAAAAAGGAGAAAAATGCAAGGAAATAGAATTGGCAGAAGACACATATGTGGGGAATACATGTGTTAACTGCCTTAAGTCGGGCTTCTTTCTGAGGCAACTGGAAGACGGTGATAAATATTTGTATATAAGAGAGGGTGATGAAAATGAAGTCAAGCCCACCAACGAAAAAAGCTCCAAAGAGGCCATAGATCTTATTTATGTAAACATCTTCAGTGGCAAGCTTCACAAGGGCCATGTGTTCACAGTACGTGTGGGATATTAACTTGGTTCGGTAAAGTTTCAGACGACACTTTATGAGCAATAGGCATGGAATTACCAGAACGGCAGGCCGCAATGTCAACCCAACTCCAATATTAGTGACTAGTTGTCGAGTGAATATAGTAGCGTGCCTTAGAGGATAACAGATAGCTACGTAGCGGTCCAGAGCCATGGCCAATAGGATTCCAGATTCAATACCCTGAAATGTGTGGATGAGCCACATCTGAAAGAGGCAAGCATCAAAACATATCTCTGGTATGTGGAACCAGAAAACTCCAAGCATCTTGGGCACAATGCTGGTGCTAAGTGCAATGTCTGTGGCTCCTAACATGCCCAAGAAGATATACATAGGTTCATGGAGGCTGGGCTCAGATACGATGATGATCAAAAGCAGAGAATTTCCAATCAAAGCAATGACATACATAGCACAGAATGGAATTCCAATCCAATACTGGACAGGTTCCAAACCAGGGATCCCAATAAATGTCAATACAGAAGGCATGAATACAGCAGTGCCATTGGTAATAAGCATGGCAATCCTGGAGTCTTCTTAGAAATGGAACAAAATTTGCCAAATTGTGATTCACTGCACTCTGATAAACCCTATTCTCTTCCAGTCACAAAGTTATTGAATAAAAACTTGGGGAATAAACATCATCAGTTCATTTTTTATTACTTTAAGTGAATAGAAACATGCCAATACTGAGACTCATGAGAAAATTCACGAATATAATTTAGCAAAACTATCCACCAACCCTCAATAATATCACAGTGTGAAAACTACATATGGGGACACCATTCCTGTGATGAGCAACCTGCTTAGTGGTGCTTTTTACCCCTCCATTCCATCTGCACTTTCTTCTTCTAATCTGTTTACAGAAAGTAGAAAATAATATAGATATAGGTTTAGATTTATAGATATATTGTATCTATATTTGAAGTGATACATTAGACAAACCAAAATCCACTCTACCTTTAGCACCAAGTTTTCCTCTCTTCATTACCCTCCATTCTCTCTAAGCTAGCAGGAACCAGCATTTGTACTATTCATACCAACATACCAATTAATAAATATCACTTGGTTGATACCCCCCTTTCAAAGATTATGAATCCAATTAAAGATATATTACTCCTTGCTTTGCATTCTTTTATCTCTGGGAATTCAAATGTGACATTGCTGCAAGACCTGGTCTCTATCTAGGTAGACAATGACAGTCACACAACTTTGATATTGCCATGGCAATTCTAATTCAGGAAACATGTCCTGCAAAAAAAGTTCTTCATAAAGCACCCAAAATCCCTCAAACCAGGATCTTCCTCACACATTTGAGGGCAAGGGAAAATAAAATTATTATTTAAGTCATATCCAGGAGTCTGGAGGTTCAGGGAGCTGGATCCCACATGATCAATTGAGTGGCTCTAATCCTGACTCTAGCAGCTTGAAAAGCCTGTGGTGCACCTGGGTATGCAGGTCCAAAATCTCTACAGTATGGAGAGATGGACGAGAAGGGATTATGGCATGACAAAACCCCATTCAGGAGTCCTTTCTCTCTTTCCCTCTGTCTTTCTCTGTTTCTCCAAATAGAGCATCCATGCCTCTGACAATTAAAAAATGAATAAGTAATGTAATAAAATTAAAATTAAGAGGCATTTACAGTACCTGGTATAAGAGAAGAGAGACCTTGGGTTGTGTCACCAGCAGTATCATGAAAAAGAGGTTGAAGTGGTTACAGGTAGGGTTAAGTGACAGGGTCAGAATCTTGGGTCTTTATATGGAGGGAATATAGCAGAGACATTCTTATATAGAAAGCAGTGTTACTTACCACAGAAAAGAACTAACCACTTCTAATGTTTTATCTCCTGGGAAAGCTAAAATGAGGAGACATATGAGAATATGAGCCTCTTTGAAAATTCTCCAAGGGATTCTATGGAGAAAAACTGACATAATATCTGTACATTCATATGAACTTGCCTTGAGGAACAACAGCAAATTAGAGAAAGAGAGAGAAGGCTCGCAAACAAAATTCTCACTACAAAGAAAAGGTTGTCTCTCAGGGACACTTCAGACTTCCCAATAACCACATAGAGCAAAGAGTACTTCAATAGTAGGGATGACAAGAAAATGCATCAATGCTTTTCTTAAATAATGAGAGCAGATAGGGATTAGTGAAGTCTACTTAGTCTAACTAGTTAAATGATTAGCAAAGTCTAAGTTGAGGTGCTCTATATATTTTATATGTTATTGTCCTAACCATTCCCAAATATATCTCCAAAACCTAAGTCCTCACATCTAAACATCATGCCTGGGCTCTTGCCTGACCTCCAACAATCCTAATAATTACAAATTTCAAATCTAGAATATTTTAAATGTTATTCTGTCAAATTATCCCCCCTAAATAGCACACTTAAGGATACCTGATACAGTTGCCTAGAGTGAGTGGATAAGCCACATTTGCAAAAGTCAGCCATCAAAAGAAATCTCTGGTGAATGAAACCAGAAGATGCCTAGCATTTTGGGAAGAATACAGGTGCTAAGTGCAATGTCTGTGGCTGTCAACATGGCCAAGAAAATATACATGGGTATATGGAGACTTTTTTTCAAATTTGATTATAACTAAAATTAGGAAATTCCCAATCACAGCAATGATGTACATAACACAGAATGGAATCTCAATCGACTACACTGCACTGACCCTAGGCCAGGAATCCCAACTAGCTTTAATACAGAAGGCATGAAGACTGACTGAGCATGAGCATTATGATTTGTTCAATAGAATCAAGTGGTCATGTTGTTTCATCTTCTACTACCTGTCAAAACTTGACAAATTAAAATTAAAAAAAATAATTTATTTTAATTTTGGTCAATATACTATATTTAGATTAGGAGTATATCATGTTATCTTTTTTTTTTTTTCCAGCTACTCTCTCATTTTCCTTTCCCAACATCATTGGCAGGCAACCATCAGGCTCCATGTTTATCCATACCTCAGTCATTTTCACTGAACAAAATAAAGGCACTACATGGGTTCTTTCTGACCCATGATTACGGGAACAAACAGAGACTTGTTATCTTTTGGTTGCTACCCATTACTCATGCTATTTAATGACCTGATAAGTGAAATTGGAGGAAACAGTTTAATTCAGAGGAAAGATATTTCAAGAACTAGACTCTATGTATGCTAGACACAAAGGGACCACAGGTCTGACCACAGGGTTTAAAGACCTATTTAAAATCAGAAGACAAATTTGATTGGCATCTTGCTCAATTTGCAGCTCATAGGCTGTTTTTTTTTTGGTTTGTTTGTTGGTTTGTTTGTTTAGGTTAGTCTCAGTCTGATCTTTTTATTATACCCTCTCACAGAATGCTCTCAGCCTAATTTTTCAAATATTCAGTGTCTTTCCCAAACTGTCATATATTTTGCATTTTTTTCTATTTATTCTCTACAATTAAATGTATAACTTTTGAATTAATGGTCTTTTTCTCAGCATTTTATATCATGGCTCTTCTCTCCTTCCATGCTCTGCTAAGTGCACATGGCTAGTACTGAATATCACTTATGCCTACTTAAGCTGTTTGTTTCTTTCTCTTCCCCCCAAAAGCTATAATTAACTTACTAAACCTAAACAATTACTCCTGCTTTATTATATGAAATAACATGTCATACCCTATTAAAAGCAAATTTCTAAATTTATAAAAATGTGTCCATTCAAAATTCAGTGATGTATTGTGGAGGAGAAAACTAGTTGCACAATGTCTTATATAGGACTTTTACATATATTTTTACCCTATTTTTGGTTTTGCCCTCCACTTGTCACCAAGCACATGACACTCTATGCTTCTAAAGTCTACTAGCTCTGTTACTGAAGGATATGTTTCAATATAGAGTGGCTGTGCCTTTATACTTACCAAAGCTCAAGGGGGTTTTTGTGCATGCTGATTTCTTGAAACTGTATTCAAGAAAATATTTTTGCCCCAGATTATGCAAAATAGTCAATAATTTAAAATTACATTCATTTTTATAGTAATTCTAAAACTCATCTTTTGAAACAATATAATACAGTATAAAATAGACAGTGAGGAGAGCCTAAGATAAAAGATTGGTAACAGAAAGACCACACAATCATGCCTTCACCTTCATTTTGTAGGTTAGTTTGGTTTGTTTCCCCCTGATAAACTAGATTGTCTCTGGACCATGAAAGGGCACCTACGGCCCACATCAGGTCAATTGCAAGAAGATGGATTACTTTTTTTTCTTAAAATCTATCCATGTGTGGCAATCAAAGAAAAAAAAAAAGGAAGAAAAAATTTAGCAGATGCAAAAATGGAAAATTATCTGTTGATGACAATGTGTATAGTAATATCTTTGGAATAAAATGCAGTATATTCATGCTAGAAATTCCATTTTGTATGCTATAAAAGTGCATAGTGATTAAATTTTTAAAAAAATTTAAAAGATAAAAGAACGGAAACTAAAAATTATAAATAAATAAATAAATGCATTTCTGAGGAAAAAAGAGAGAGAAAAGAAAGATGGAATAAATATGCAAAAACAAAAAACCTTATCCAAGTAAGCCTTTCTGTTCTGAGTCCTCATGTCAGAAACTCTTCCTTTTAGCAAATGCATAAAATTCTGAAGCAGATATTTTCACATCACGGGATAACGTTATGAACCAAAATTAGAAATTTTTTGGTAATGATTATGTTCAATAAGCATTAAGTATCCATTGTATTCTACGTATTTGTTTGACACTATTAAAAAAAAAGATACATTGATTTGTTCTATATATACATCATATTGGTTGTTTGAAACTGAAAAACAAATTTTAAATGAGAAACCGTGATTTGAAAAACACTCCAGGTGTTTGTGTATGCATATTCAGAATCCTAATAAATGGAGAAATAGAGGAAAAGAATTGGAGTGTGACCAAGCCCCTTTACAGGGATGTGCATTCTCCCTCTGTATCCTTCTGTTTTACTCTCTCTCCCTGAAGAGTGTACATTTTCTCCTACAAAAATCAAATTAATTTTAGAAAACAAAACCTGCCTTTCTAATTCCAATTAAATAAAAATATTTTTTTCATTTCTAGCTTCCATGAGTCCTCACACACCTGAAAATTTAGGGCAAATAAATTCATCCTTGTCAGAGATATCGACTGTATTGTAAAAGGTTTAGACTACCCATTAGAAAGCAACAATGAAACAGTAGCAATAATGAAAACTCCCTCAGACATTAACAAAAATCTTTTGAAGATTTTGGGAGAGGATAAGATTCTCATCTCTTATTCCAAGTCATTTTTTCAGGATCTTACATTTTCTAGGATCTTATGTTAGGGAAGGAGAGAGGAAGCCCTTGATTAAATAAGGTTGGTAAACTTAATTTCCTGTAATCAAACTGAACAGAATAAAACTTAATTTCCAGGGAAATTATTCTTCAGAATGTCAGCCCAATAAAGAATATGAAAAGGGCATTCCAAGAAGAGAGAGTAGTTTATATAAAATCATCGAAGCAGGGTTATAATTTTAGATTAGTG